GAACATCAGTAGGAGAGACTCTTTATAAGTAGGACACTACTATACTGATTATAAACCTGAACATCAGCAGAGAGACGTCTTTAAGTAGAGAACGTACATATGATATACACCTGAACGCATCAGTAGGAGAGGACCTTTAAGTAGAGACACTACATACTGGCATTAAACCTGCATCAGCAGGAGAGGGACTCTTTAAAGTGGACATACTATGATATTAACCTGAACATCAGCAGGGAGAGGACATCTTTAGTAGAGACACTACATACTGATATACACCGCAACATCAGCGGAGAGGACTCTTTAAAAGTAGAGACACTACATACTGATATACACCTGGCACATCAGCAGGAGAGGACTCTTTAGAGGTAGAGACACTACTTACTGATATAAACCTAGAACATCAGCAGGGAGGACTCTTTAAAGAGGACACTTACATTACTGATATACACCTGAACATCAGTAGGAGAGGCTCTTTAAAGTTAGAGACACTACATACTGATATACACTGCACATCAAGCAGGAGAGGACTCTTTAAAGTAGAGACACTACATGGTAGGGGAACTTGCTGGCAGGCAACTGAGACCAGACTCAGAGAAGACACGGAGGAGAAGTTGAGCTTTGATCTCAAACAATGATGTTTATTACAGGTCAACGGCGGAGGATTCTATCCCAAGTCACAGCAGCAAAAGGTTACTGACTGCACGGGTGGGTTGTCGTTCAACTCTGCCCAACCTTATCTCTTCGATAGACCTTTTTAACTAGTTTACAGAGGGTCAATCCACATTAGGGTGGGCGTAAACATCTGCAGACACAGGAGATGTCTCTCACATCTGTGGAGCTTCACAGGCCAGCGTTTCTTCACAGTGGTAAACCCCCCCCCCCTGTGCCACCAGGTCAGGCCATAAACTAGTATCAACATACGACTGCATTACACTTCTTACGGTCAGATTAGAAGCAGGGATGGTCGTAAATGTTCAACACACAGATAAGTTAAATTCTTAGGAGTAAGGGAAGAATTATTCTTTGACACTAGGAGTAATATTCCCTACATCATACTATTATTAATTCTGCAAATTTGCATGATATGACATCTCTTTCATCCTATTATTTATGCTGTTCTCATTCAGGATAAAGGCTGGTTTCTTAGCATTTTCCTCGTCAACAAATATTAAAGACCAAACTAACAATGTTGACACTCCTGTCTCTAGCTGTTTCGATAATCCCTACCAGTCAGTAGACAGGCTCAGAAATATCAGGACCTTAACCCTAACTTTTGGTCGTCAACATCTTGATTGTTTTATTTTTCTTAACCGTAACGAAGTACTTTTGTGCTCTTAACATCAGACCGGCAGTTTCCACAGACGTTCATCCACGTAGGCATTGTGCGTTTCTGCAGGTCGATATGAACGTTTTGGAAAGTTTCTGGAGAAAAAAAAAATCCCTCCAAACAGGTTAGTGAAAATGTATTCTGTTTAAGGGCTATTTTCGATCAGCGGATTAAACACAGTCTGCCTAACAAAATATCTCTGGGTTCTGTTACTCTTAACTGTGCTTTCCTCTTCACAGGTGGAGGATACCACGAGATCTTGAGAAGAGGTAAGGGACAGCTTCACTCCACCAGCACCAGACCTAGACGACTGGCGTGTGAAGAAGAACCGCAGGAGTTCAGCGACATCAACTACCGTGGTGATCTCATCAGGTAAGTTGGTGGAGATTGTAGGATTCGAGTTTTAACGCATGTGAGTCCACCACCGGTACACAAACACCGTCAAGCAAGATAACTTCGTTGTGGTGTAACTGGCTATGGACCGTTTCTCAAATCATTTCAAAGAGTCTTTTAAAGTACTGCAAATATTGTTTTTTTTAATATATATGTGATAAACTCCCCGGCTGCTTACATTTTGGATACTATAATGATGGTAGTGAAATATGTTTCCTCAACGGTCTTATAATTATGATATGTAATATGTTTTTTGTTGTCTTTATATAATAATTGTGTACTGTCTGCTCTCTCCTGATCTTGGGTGTCTTTGGCGCTCAAACATAAATCCCCCTGGTTTCCTTCCCTGTTTGTTTCGTATCTTGTGACTCTCGGTTTTTTTTGTTTTCTCTTGAGTATCATAATATCCTCAGTCTCTAGGAGTCTGCACATGATGTCAGTGTGGAGAGAAAACTTTAAAAGGAATTGTTGAAAGAGATCAAAGTGATATTTTCCAGCGATGGCTAGGTTATGAGGTAAATGGTTACACCGGATCTTATTGAATGAATTATTTTACATATCTTAAAACTGGTTCTTCCTCTGATGTTTTCATGCAAGGCTCAGCGCCGCAGTATAGGCACTTCCGCTCCAACCAGCGCTCTTGAGCGGCCCTCGCTGACGAGAAGTCTGAAGTTTCGCCTGGACCCTGAACAGCCACATGTCCACTACAGGCAACGGCTTCATGTCCTCCCAACGGGTAAATATGCAGATTAAACCCCAACAATTCTGAAGGACAGAGTATTTTTACCAACATCTTTCAGATCCACACGCTCGTGCAGTGGGAAGTGTGGAGTACACAATACTTGTTACTGTACTGTACAGGTACCATGTTTTCTTAGTATCAGTAACTTTACTCCTACCTTACTTTTATCTGACGACTTTTTCTTTATTCTTACATGTTTGAACACAAAACCTGTACTTTCTTATTCTTACAGTGAACAGAAGATACCTGAACTTTCTACTTTTACATGTTGAACTCAAATACCTGTACATTCTACTTCTTACATGTTGAACACAAATACCTGTACTTTCTACTTCTTACATGTTGAACACAAATACCTGTACTTTCTACTTCTTACATGTTGAACTCAAATACCTGTACTTTCTACTTCTTACATGTTGAACACAAATACCTGTACTTTCTACTTCTCACATGTTGAACTCAAATACCTGTACTTTCTACTTCCTACATGTTGAACACAAATACCTGTACTTTCTACTTCTCACATGTTGAACACAAATACCTGTACTTTCTACTTCTTACATGTTGAACACAAATACCTGTACTTTCTACTTCTCTCATTTTCCAAACAGGCTGGTTCCTTTAGTCTGAATGTGTGTTTGGTGGCGTGATCATTATTATTTAGAGTCATTGCGTGCCTATTGATTTGAACACGATCCGTGGTCCATCATTTCCTGGTCTTCTCTAAAGAAGAGGGACCAATGGAAACGTTGTCATGTTGCCGTTGTTCAGCATGGAAACATTCATTAGCTAACAATGACAGTATTGTTCTATTAATATAAAGGGAGGTCAGGTACTCTTTAAAACAGCTGCTAGTTATGGGTACTTTTTACTAAAGTACATTTCAAAGCCTCTTTACTTTGACTTGAGTAAAGAAGTTTAGTCAGTACTTCTACTTTCACCAGAGTATTTTTAAACACGAGTATCTGTACTTCTACTTGAGTAAAGGATGTGTGTGCTTTCACCATCTCTGGTAAAAGATGAGAAGATGTCAGAATAACAAATGATGTGAATAGAGACAACATTTGCAAGAAACTAAATGTGTTAAATCTATAAAGGAATATTTGTGAGGCTAAACGTGATGATCAGTAAACTGGCTCTGTAGAACAATCCCTAGTTCCTTGTTTATTAAAACACTGAAGGCAAAGCAAGTTTATTTAAATAGCACCTTTTAACACAAGGCAATTCAAAGTGCTTTACAAAAATGAAAGACATTAAGAAAACGGCATTTAAAAACAGCAAAGATAAAAAATAAACATTATAAGAAAAAACACATGCAGCCTGATCCCCATCTGAAGCATCTTGTCTATTTGACTTGTGACCTTAGACGTTTGCTTTTAATGACTTGACCGTTATTTGATCAATTATAAATGAATCTTGTTAAAAATACAGTCTGTCTAGTTATGGGAAAAAGGTTGAAAGCATTGAAGTGACTCACTGCAGGATGAGTGTGACCAGTCTGATGGCCTCCACCGCCACATCGTACTCCTTATCCAGCGTCATGGAGACGATACGGTCCTGTCGAAACAGAGAGAAATACAGGTCAACTGAAATGCAACACAATCTAAGCATTGCTCGGTTCTGCTCTTGAGTATGTAAAAGCAGTCAGGATTTCTCGTTGTGTGTTACCTTGAAGCGGTTGGTGAAAAGCTCTAACTTTGGGAACAGCTCTCGGTTTGTGTACAGGTTCTGCAGAGCCTTCAGGCACTTCAGACGCACCTCTCCTTGCTGAAAGACAGAGCGGCCATTAAAAGGCTATTCTTTCTAATGTGTGAACATTAGCAGAACCATTGAATGAGTTTAGTGTCGGTTCATCAGGGTGTTCAGAACCAGCTCTGAAACACACTGGAAAAAAATGCTGCTCCAAAAACAAGTTAAACAATAATGAAAACAAGCCGTTTTCACTTCAAATAAGTAAAAAAATCGGCCAATAGAACGAGGGGAAAATCTGCTTGGTAAGATTTCTTAAAATAAGAAGGGATATTAAGATGTATCAGATCTTATAGTTAGCGGAGAGAACTACTTTTGACCTATATTTGACCAGAATCAGGAAATGTTGTGTTACACTATAAGCCGCAAATGCTCAAAAGTTTTCTGTTTTCTGATGTTAGTTTGTGATTTTCTAATAAATATTGTTACGACCCCCTCCAGGCATACTTGTCAACCGTGACACCTCAGAAATCGTGAGCATTTCAAAACGGAGGGGGGCGGGGTGGTAGTGGATCGCCGGAGCTGTAGATTAACATTAACATGCTTATTGTAGACTTTCAGTTGCGCGCTACTAAAGAGACGCGCTACCATGGAAACCAAACAATGGTGTAGCTGTATTAAAGTCCGAGTGGAAACAGTCCTGAGTAAATCTGATTTTGTAGGAAACCGGGAGAGGGCAATGAAATCGGGAGTCTCCCGCGAAAATCGGGAGGGTTGGCAAGTCTGCCTCCACCAGGGGGTCTATGCCTTTGTGTTCTGCTTGCTGGCTCTTGCTTGTGTTTCAGGTGATCACCCTGATGAGCCACACCTGGGCCGTCTACATAAAAGGCCAACACCAACCCACACTGCCCTCTCACTCTTCTGTTGGACACGACCGCGTCTTTGTTTCTGCACATTTTCACACACGCAATCATTACTGATAACTGACTTCCACATTTATTAGGTTTCTTTGAAGACCTTTGGTTTTTGTGGTATTGTAAATAAATATGCTTTTGTTACACTTAACTTGTCTGGTCTCCCATCTTTGTTGCAGCCTATGAGCCAGGCCGTAACAATATGTAAAAAAAGATGTGGTTCAACCGAATAAGTAAAATAAATAAGATTTTTTGACTTAACAAGATGATGCATTGTCTAAAAACAAGACCCTATATCTCACTGCAGTTATTACTTCTTATATCAGGTGTAGAGACATGTTCTGACTGGATATTAGACAAATCTACTTGGCAAGATTTCAAGTTTTTTGTGGTGCATTAACCTTGTTTAAAAAAGTGCGAGGGGAAATAGCTCAGTCAGGTTTTATGGATGCGTTCTTACCCTATCGTGTAATGTCCAGCCAACATACTTCAGGTAACTGTCATTAAGAAAAGCATCGCTGTACATTTTCATCCACACTCCAATCTCTTCAATACAGATGGCTCGGATTTCAGCAATCGCATCCCTAGAAAACCAAGAGTAGCACAAAAACATTATCAGTTTAAGAATTGTTTATTACATTTATAACGGTGAAAAACAAGTGTCCGAACTGCTATGATAGACAACATATGACAAAAGCTGATCATGTCTTGTTAGTAATTAATTAGAAGTTACAAACAAATAAATACATCAAATTAAATGTACCTGTAGCGATGCACAAAGATTCCCTTGAAGATAGAGTTCATCATATTCTCTATTTCATCCTGATTTTCTTGAAGCTGCAACGACAAAAATACAAAGTTTTACAAAAGAGCGTAATTAAAAAACATAAAAGAAAATCTTAGGAAATGTTGGAATCTACTACCAACGTCATGACAAGTAATGATCACACAAGACAACATGTTATATTCCTGCAAAACCATAATAAGAAAATATGTAAGATATGACAAACACTCCATAATGACCACAATGGTTTCGGGACTATGTGTTAAAAACTCTGCGTGGAAAGGGTTAGTTACTTAAAGGACCCCTATTATACTGTTTTTCATCAATATATCACAGGTCTCAGATATATACAAGACATGTCTCTGAAGTGTTTGGCTCGAAATACCAAGCAGATCACCCATTGAGCATCCCATAATCCCCTCTGTTTCAGTCCTGTTTCAAAAGTGCTGATTCTCTGTCTTTGAGTTTAGAAAAAAATAAGGAGCCCCTCTGCGAGATATTTGGTTAAAAAGAACGCAATGGTGCTCTAGGAGGAGATGCAGGTGATAAGATCGGGGGGGGGGGGTTACCTTGGTTGGTTATTGGCTAATGGTTACAAAAGCCAAAAAATCGTTATGACATCATAAAGTCAAAACTCTGATCAGCTCATTTTCAGACATGAAAAAGTGGATTTTGCATAATATGTGACCTTTAAGGTAAAGCTCGTGTGAAAAGCAGAGAGATATAATGTGAGGATTTGATCTAGAGACAAATAGATCTGCTCCTATGTCTATACAGGACACTATTAAAGCATCCACGGCAAGCTTACTTGAATACACTCTGGGCAAACAACTTGTCACTTCTTGTCTACATTGATTTAAGTGTTAATGCTCCATTGTCAAGGGATACATTTAATAGATAAATGCAACAACTTCTGTGTAAGGAATGCCACGGATAACGGGTAACTTTTCCATCTACTCACAGCCCATTGTCCCGCAGCGAGGTTCTGCAGGGCCCCCCCGGCTGCCTCCAGGGTGTTGTGGTTGTGACTGCAGGTAAGAAGAGAGAGGTAGAGCCTCACCACCTCAGGCTGATACAGCAGCTCCAGTCCTTTAAAGACAAAAGAACAGAGTCAGGGACGACGATTGTTCTACAATTCCCTCTATCTAGCTTAGTTTAGGTCAATAGGTAAGCAAGCCAATATGAAACGTGTTAATGAAACTCTAGGTAAGAACATTACTACTTCTGCAGAGGTTTTGTTTCTTTGTTCTGAGCCAGTTGTGGATGCTGGATGTCTGACAAGTAGTATAGCGCTGACCCTGGAGCGTAACATGCTTATCATACTGATTTGCATTCACTGGCTGGAGTGTGGGAGGCATGAGCTCAGCTTTGATCTCTGTTCAAACAGCAGTCAGATCCGCAAGCAGTATTCAGCACAGTACTATTGTAAAAATATATTCCCAATAATTTCTATACACAGAATGCAATCACGGCTATAAACGGGTCGGCTAAACAAAAGATAAAGATAGTTTAGCAGCAGCAAATAAAGATGTCCCGCAGTATCTTGAGCAAATTCCTGTGCCTGCCAGAGGAAATGTTCCTCCTCTAGATGTTGCCAGATAAAAATGTCTTTCAGTCGGTGGGTCATTCTGTTTTAGTAATGAAACTCTCCTCAAGTGTTGCAGGTGCTGGAGTGTGGCTTTGCATTTAAATGAATTCTTTTTCAGGCCATGCCAGCGTCCAGCATATAAAGCAAATAGCGTAACACAGAAAGCAGGTGCTGATGCTTGATTATAGTGCTATGGGACGATGATATACGATGGAAGCTCTGCATAATGCATCTACCTTTAATCTATTGGTAATAAGCCTAATGTATAGCTTACTTATTCCCAAAAGTCACTGTGTGAGTCATGCCATAACGCGAATGTGAGGTTTTATGTGAAGTTACATACACGAGTATATACCTTTCATTTGTTCTGTACATTTTGGTAAATCCAATGTACCGTACTTTCTGTCCATTAATCCATTTTTCCAACCTGTACATCACATACATGCACACAATACAACACTGGTTTACATGATATCATTATACAGACGAATAATCACAATATCAATTCCATGAAAATGTAGAGCAGTAACTAGCACACTGACCTTGATTGAACCATTCCTCTGATGGATCAGAATTGAAAGGAAAAGAAGAACAATGTCAAAGATTAGATTATGTAGCAGCAGATAAAGGAGCTCCTATATGCAGTGAGACACTGAGGGACCTGACAGTATCAGGTTGATCAGAGAGGCATTTGACAATTTTTGCAATTAGCTGAAAGGTTAGCAGTGAGGAAAAGCGGTAAAACTTTAAATCACATTAACTCAATCACTATTGTTTCTCCATTAAACTATGTCCTGCAGCACAAACTGCTGCAGCCTATTACTATAACTCAAAGTGTTACTTACATGGGTTATGCATCACTTCCAAAGAGTTTTCACAGTTTTATAACCTTCTTGCTTCTTATATTGGTTGCATGGTGTAAAAATCAAATAACTGATGCAACAAAGTATAAACAGGCTTTTTCAATTTTGGAACCTGGCACTCCTCCTGCAGGGCAAAATATATCACCAGCTCCTGCATGCGCTGGGATATGAAATATTCACGCTCTCCTTGGCATAAAAAAGGGCACGAAAGGTTAAACTGATGCTTGGAGCAAAGACACATTGGAAGTAAACATTTCAAACAGAGAAATTGTTGACTTACAGGGACACTAGTATAAAAAAAGAAGGTAAATATCCTTTTTCAAACAAAGATTTTTAGGTAGATTGTTATGGAAGGAGATGAAGGAGGGAAAAAACAAAGAATTAAACAATATAACTACAAAACCTTTTGAAAGTGTTTCTGTGCTTGTACAATCTGGGATATCAGTGCATCTGTTTGAGTAATCTGCACTGCAACTGCTATATTAAGCTCTTATGAGACTCAAATAGAGCATAATAATCTTAATGTGGGGCATTAATTGTTATCTTATCTCGAGGACACCATTAATCAGTAGATGTCCCCACACATGGGTGTTACTCATACACTCACCGCAAGCTTGAAATAAAAGTAAAGAATGTTTTCAATCAGAGCAACCTAACCTAAAAAGACGCAACCAGAAATTATTAATGTGATTTCATCATGTATGACAGTCTTTATAACCTTTGGGTTTTTTCCCTCCAAAACAGTCGGGCTCATTCTTCTTCTTCTGGTGTCCCACTGATCTCATCAGATGATTGCCGTGGGGCTCCTGCAGACGCTCGGCTCCAGGTATCTCTTTGTGAACATGATAAGACAGGTTTCGCAGGATGCACACGCAGTTCTCCACCGACTGAAAGGAGGCAGAAGATTTCAATCAGAAAGTTATACTGCAGGAGAAGTTTACTGATGTTTACACCGACTTAGTATTTATTTCCCCTTCCAAATTAAAATGTATTGATTATATATTCCTTATCGAATTGTAAATCCTATAGAAATGTCAGAGATACAGAGATGGCAAAAGTAAACACATCCTTTACTCAAGTAGAAGTACAGATAGGCCTACTCGTGTTTAAAAATACTCTGGTAAAAGTAGAAGTGCTGTCTAAACTTCTTTACTCAAGTAAATGTAAAGAAGTATGGGCTTCGAAATGTACTTAAGTAAAAGGTATCCATAACTAGCAGCTGTTTTACAGAGTAACTGACCTAACTTTATATTAATAGAACAATAATGTCATTGTTAGCCAATGAATGTTTCCATGCTGAACAACGGCAACATGACAACGTTTTCATTGGTCCCTCTTCTTTAGAGAAGACCAGGAAATGATGGATACACGGATCGTGTTCAAATCAATAGGCACGCAATGACTCTAGATAATAATGATCACTCCACCAAATGCAGATTCAAATTAAAGTAATAAACCTGTTGTGAAAATGTAAGAAGTAGAAAGTATAGGTATTTGTGTTAAAAATGTAAGAAGTAAAAGTAAAAAATCGTCACAAAAATAAGTAGTGGAGTAAAGTACTGATACCACAAAAATGTACTTAAGTGCAGTAACAAAGTATTTGTACTCCACTACTTCCCACCTCTGATCATAGTACATATAACAATAACTGTTACTTTACAAATATCCTTGATCAACCTACACACATCACATCCTGTGTAACATATTGGGTGATCTTTTGTACCACCTGAGAGTTGCCAGCTGCTGGTTGAGCTCCTCCATCAGGACCTTAGTGTCACAGGTGTCGGCCTGCAGCGGGCTCTGCCCCCCGGCCTGGTTGCCGAGGAACAGATGGGGGGAGCGCTCTTTGGGCGAGGGCAGCAGAGACATCATCAGTGGGGATCGCTGATTAACTATACGGCTGAGGGAGGGACGTCTCTGAGGCATTCTGGGGGGGAAAGTCAGATCAAGAATATATAAATACTCAATGGAAACATGCATAATGTTAACAAGATATATTCAGAAAAACACACAGGGCAACACATTCATACTGGCTTGGCTGGTAGTAAAAAGTAAGAGAAAGCTTCTTCAACACCATTAAAAAGCAACTAAAGCTCCATCTGTATAGTAGTTCATTCACACCCAGCCAGCTGTATAAGCATTTTAAAAAGAAGAAACTCTCCATGTATTCCATTGTGTCATACATACCCTTAGTACTCATGGTTAAGCAAATATCCAAGACTAAACAATCAGGAAAGCTATAATGGGAGCCAAATTCTCAAAATCCAGGTGCAAACACAAAAAATATATAGTGTAATGTTTTTTTTAGACCATATTTTTTTTATTTTTGCAACATAGCTGGAAGCATAGCTGATTCTGCTCCAAAATCCTTTGTGTACAGCCACCCTCAGGGGGAGAGCGAGCTTCAAACTTCAGATTGTTTGGTCTCGACCTGACAGCAGGAGAGAGCTCTGACAGCTTACACTGCTGTCAATCTGGTTTCAGAAACAGCAGCAACATAAAACAGGCTGTCAGACATTCCCTCCTATCGGACAAAGCTACAAATCTGTCTACATCAATCATCATGTTCCAGCTGAAGGTTTTGACATGACATCCATCAGACAAAGACAACTTCACTGCCTGAGCCATGAAGTTATCTAATCCATTAAATGTTGAATGTCTGCTGGACTGGTTACACAAATTGGTGATTAGACAATACATTATATTCGTTATAACATCTACTATCTATATATATATATATATATATCAACAATGGATGACATGTTTACTTCTACTGTACAGCATATGAATATCAGAACCAGAATCATAATCTGAATACTTGAATTATCCTGCGGGAAATCAGGATCATTACAGTGTCTCCAGTTTAAATAAAAGATAAATAAATATAAAATACAAATATTATTATAAAGAAATTGAATAAAATATGAAATGCAATAAAAAAGATTAGACGAATAAATAACAAATACAAATATTTGTATGAAGATAAAGTAAATGAATACAATATGAAATGCAATACAAATATTATTTATATATAAAATATATGTATATATATATATATATATATATAAACAGAAGAAGTTGAAGTAAAATGTTTAATAAAATGTGCAGTTAAATTAGAAGTGTGCACATTGTACTAAAATATGCAACATGTATACTACAATAACTACTATGTAATACTATAAGTAAAAGGCATGCTGTCACTCTCCAGTCACCTTCAGCTCTACAGAGCTTCATATCTTTGTTTAGCTTATTGATCTGGTTCTCAGGGCTGAAACTCTGTTGCTTCACCACTCTCATCAGTAATGTTATTGGCAGCAGCAGGCAGGAGTTTTCAGCAACAGAAAAGCCATAAAAGCCCACTGTGTGCCACCTATCCTTGACTCAACCTTCCCTTGGCTTTAACACACCTGTGCTTAAATGAGCTATTCCATTCCGTCTCCTCGGGGGCAGCTTCTCCCGTCTTCACTGAACCATGAACAGCAGTGAAGGTTGTCCCTGAGTCCCCATCAGACCTGTTTCTCACTGCCATGTTAAAGGTGTCAGAGTACAGAAGACGCCCCAGCTCCTCTTGGATGTCCCTCAGGTCCTTCCTGCCAAACGTCACCCAGGCTGCATAACAGAAGAAGCTGTACAAGCACTAAAAACAAAGGGGGAGGGGAAGAGAGGGGGAAAGATGAGGAGTTCTACACTCAAATAAATGTAGTCCTTAACCCAATAGTTAGACAATCATGCCATTTCAACGGACGTTTTTCGCCACGTATAAGATTTAAAAAGGTCACAACAGCTTTTCTGCCTGAAAAAGGGGTCACATACAGAGCAGGCATTAAGCTGCTGGCTGCTGGTGTTTGTTTGATATTTCACTCCCTGTCCACCCACCTGGCTACAGTAGAGAGCCTGTCAAAGCAAAGCACCTGTGTTGAGTCAACATCTCCTCCCACTAACTAATTCATTAAGGCTAGCAGGCAGAACCGGCACTCAATGTCTGTCTGTTCTGCTCACTGCCGTCTGTATTCACAGATGGTGAGCCGGCCTTAACGCTCTCGAGCTGAAGGCTTCATTTATTTCCCTGTACAGATGAGGCAATACAGTTTCAGATGTTTCAACATGCTGGTTTTGGGGAAGAGATTTCAGGTCAGTTACAAGTCAGATTTATCCTGGAATTACGTTTTTATTTTTTATTTGAGGGGTTGGAAATGGATTCATTCCAGTTTCATATTTCCCTCTTTAACTGAGCAATTCAGCATTAATACCTTTATTGATATTGATACACCATTGCATGTATACACATATTTTAAACATGTATTGTTACATGTTATAACCTGTGTATATTTTTACTTTAACTTCTTAGGTTAATATCAATATTTTATTTTTATTCAATTCTAAAATGGAGCAACCCCCCTGGGATACAAATAAAGTATTGTATCCATCTAATCAGATTCTGATTCATTTAGTACATTTTCTGCACATTGTTGGATTCTTATACACTTACCGCATGCAGCAGCCAGTCTGTGCTGTTTGATAACATCCGGACCCTGCAGAAACACAGCAGAGCTTGGTATGTTGTGGTGAGCTGTGATTGTTTCACTTTTTTTGTGGTTGATATGATGTTTTTGGGCACTGGGTCTCATATCTGGTTTCATATTTCTTGTTTTGCATGATTATGTGACTATATTTTATATTTTTGCACTAAGTATACCCCCATCTGGCAATTTATAAAATCAGCAACGCAACATCGGACCAGTAGCTTTAGCAGAGCTTCTCAGTTTCTTAGGTTTCCTTCAGCTATGCATTGGTACCCAGAAGGTATCAATACAACCGAGTGAAAACATTGCAAAGGGAATAGTTATTTTCTGAATCTGAACAAATACTCACTTTTGATATGCTGTGTGTTGATGCTGTTCCATCTCCAGGTCCATCATTAGGCTGAAGTAGCAGACAGCCAGCTTCTTTTGTGCTATTTTCTTTTTGGCAAAAGCCTCTGCCATCATCTTGTGCTCTGTGATGAGGTAGACACTGGCAGATTGTTGAGAAAGGGAGTGAGGGTGTAAACATACAGGACAGATACAAAATAAAATTGAAATATATATAAAGAAAAATAGCTCACAGGCACTGGTGGATAAAGAAAGGAAAAACACACATATACAGACTGGTAAGACAAACATTACAATACAGGCAATAAACACCAGCCATAGGCTGGTGCCAATGTAAGAAATAGACAATTTATTGTCACACGTACGCCATTGAAGATTTGAGCATATCCTCCAGAGACTTGTGTTCAAAGAAACAGGACATGTAAAGGAGAAGGGCAGGCAGGACGTCATCAAGAGCTTTACACCTAGGACAAAGACAAGCAAATAAAAAACTGATCTTAAAATGTGAAACAATGGAAACTATGCGCATGTAAAAAAAATAATCATCATGTCTTTGTATTCCTTACTTTAATACAGCCATGAAGCTGAATGGAATTGGAAGCAAGTAATTCTCCTGTAGCAAACTGACAGCCACCTCTACAACACAGAGAGTTTGTCGGCAAAGGGTTAAAGGTCATCCAGCATGCAATGAGTATACAAATATGTCTCACTGTGGAAAAAATAAAACCTTCATAGAGCAAAGTTAGGTATAGTTTTGTATTTGATATTAAGATCAATAATTCATGGATTAACTTGATTTGGGAAATACCAAATGTATGAGCCAATCTAGAAAATAATGTATAGTCTACCCCAAAACCTCAATGTTCTTTGAGTGTCACTGTTGGGATAAAAGCACAAGCTCTGACAGAAATGGAGCACATAATCTAATGCCAATATGCATCAGTTCAGCAAATACCAATGCTTAACATGACAGAAGCGTAGCCGACCCAAGTCATACAGTATTATTGTTAGGAATACAACAACATATTGAAACTTGCGTTTAACATCATCAGTTGTAATGCAGTCTCCTCGCCGCCTCATCACAGATGACATGTAGGCATGCAGATGAGCAGGGCGCAGGCTCTTTTTAATGCTCTGGCGCCCTCTATGGTTCAACGTGCAGATCTCAGCCAGCCTGCGCAATCGGAAATATTAGCAGCGATGAACATGTGCAGGTTTGACTGAAAAAAGTCAATTGCAAAACATTGTATGCAGTGACAAAAACGATTGGTTATTATAAGGCTACATTTATTTTGCTTTTCGAACCACTATAAACAGTTATATAACGTAGACAAAGACTTGAATTTATAAAGAAAGACGTTTGAAAGCTGCTTGTTGTAGACTAGGGTTGTCGAAACTACGGCCCAGGGTCCAACTTCGGCCCTTCGTCAACTTGTAATTGGCCCTCAGTTAAGTATAATGGGGTATGGCCCACACCTGAAACTTATGCTAGTCTTATATTTTGCTTCTTAAATATATGAAAAAAATATATATAACATGGTTTTCATGTGTCCAAGCCCAATTTTCAAATGAATTCAACCAATTAAAGTTGAAAACATTTTCTAACAAAACTTAATTATAAAAAAGCCAGATAACTTATTTGCATAACAAGCTTATAAAAAGCAATCTGAGGCTTCTATTTTAAGGGATGGCACTTTTTGTAACAGAATGAAAATAATTCTAAATAAATCTGTGATGTAGGCTGTTTTTCTTTTTCTTTCACCATGTTCAATTATTATTATTTATAATATGTTTGATAGATTTTGCTAACTAATAACTTCACTTATGAGGCAATACCTCACCTGTAGTGAGTGGCCCAGCCCATAATGTTTCTGTATGTGGCGCCTTGGTGAAAAAAGTGTGGACGCCCTATTGTAGACCTTACCACTCTGCTCGCTGTTGAAGCTCTTTGAAATTGACATTAGTTTGCCTCCTTTTTCTCAAAACACACTCCTCTGCTGGACTAGAACAAAAAGAGAGAGATGTGCACGAGACAGTTTAACGACGTCTCGTGAATGTTAGCACTTAGTAGGTGCATGCTATTGTAGCTGGTAATCAGGCCCAGCTGCGCTCACCTGACAAACTCCACTGTTTGACTTTCATCCCTCCACACCCAACGTCCTGAGGGCTGTACACTCAGCTGAAAGGTATTTCCCAAAAGTCAGACAGAACTTTGAAATGTGCCACTTTAATATGAATTGTAAATATTGACTATTAACATTACTATAAGATAGGCTACTTTGAAATTGTAGGCGGTTAACTTGAAATAAAATTGTTGCACAAACACCGGTAAGTAGTAGGCTAGGTTAGCCAGTTGTTAACAGTTGTCTGAAAACTTGTAAAGTGTCATGTCTTACGTTCTGCTTTTGTATCATAACGTTTGTAAAACTGTTTAAGTGTTTCCATCTCAATGCCACTACTTACGTGTTGTAGCTCCTCGGAATGTTTCGGCATTGTTGATTCCAAAACTTTTTACAAGTTAGCTAGCATTCCTTCCTTTTAGCGTTTGCTAATGTTAGGAGTTCTGTTTCCAGGCAACGACCTGGAAGAGGGCGAGGCTGCATCCCGACGTAGTGATACATGTTATTACGTCAATAATAACCTTAAAACAAATGCTCAACATCAGCTTGATACTCAATGACTTTGCTTCATTTTACAAGTTGCTTACATTTTGCTCTGCAGTATATGACACATTAGTTATGTCTTGGGGAAATCGCAACTGTAAAGCATGGTCGAAAAACAATAGAATTTCCTATAGCCTATGTGTGATTAGCATTGCCTTCTTTTTTTACACTTTTCAGCACTCTAAGATCCCAATTAACACTTACTTGGGTTTATCATACTGGAGTTTTTATAACAATAATTAATCATATAATAAGAATAAGAATGTGTTTGTCTAAACTGAAATGTGATGCTTTTTTGTAGAAGGTAACACTTTAATTCATCTTTTGTCTGCACCTGCAATGAAAAATGTGAGACTGATAACTCTTGATTAAAACAAAGATTGTCTTATCATTATGTATTATTAACCTGCTTTTGAATTAGAAACTAAATCATATCAACACCAGGATATTTTCCAACCAACTACATTTATACTTAATATGTAAAACCCTGTGTAGTTCAATCTGTGACCCCATCAACCTTTTCTCCTTGCTTCAACTGTAGTTACATTCATAGCCTTTATAAAACGTCCTATTTTGAACTGTTAATATAGTCAATAATACACATACACAATACAAACAGCTACTCAACTGGTTTAAAATAAAGCCACAACATCTAGTCATAACATACGTTTTATTTAATCAGGCATTCAAAATATTCTCTTGACATGATATTTCTTTGCAGAATTGTTCCCCCCACCAACATTGCATGTTACTATTAAAAAGATGTGTAAGCATTACAAAAAAGAACAGTTTTTGCATTTAAATGCCTAAGATCTGCTTTTCTAAGCTTTCTAAACTTGCACGTGAGTGTTTAAATGCTCTTTGGAGTGATAACATGTACACGTTCATCTAGATAGTCCAGCCCCCAGCCTCGCTGTCTGTCTGTCAGAGAATCAAAAGACTCCAGCAGTTCCACGTCACAGCTTTTCCCTGAAGAAAAGAAAAGCACTGTTAAAAGCTGCAAATAAATGTTGGCCCCAAAGTCTAACATGTATCACATTTAAGTACCACTTTTGACTGCACCCCTTTTTAATTTCCTAATTTATTTGATGCCTCATTTATAGTTAATGATAGTACGGAAACACACTCGATTGTTCTTAATAATACTCACCGAACAGGCTGTTCACTTGGTCGTCAGGCACCAAAAAGGGAGGACCTAAAAGACAAACAGTCACAAATATAACTTATTTTTCACCAAACTCAACAAAAACTTAATTTAGAAACAATTTGGACATTTACCTTCGTACAATTCAGGATTGTACAACATAGTATCCAAAAGGTATCTGCAGTCTTTGGCCATAAGAGAAATGATGAGTGCAGCATACCTGTGTTATTGTGAGAGAGAATAAAGTCAGACAACATTGAGCAGCATGTGAAGTTTTATTCCAAATTAGACCAAACTATGTTTTCTATAATAAGCTACCTGAGGTCTTATACCATTTGTTATAGAATTATGTAAATGATACAGTGCTTTTAATGGGTTTCAAATGTAAAAGGTCATAAGCTGTCACATTTATCAAATAAACATTTTGTTTTTGAATAAAACCAATCTGATGTGTTCTTCCTCATCTTACTTTTCTCTGTCTCTTGGGTTGATGGCCACTAGAGATCCCCTGTCCCAAATGGCCCCGAACTGACCCTCAATGGCGCTGTACAAAGGAAAAGAAAATGTTTTTTAAAAATGTACCCTTACAAATAATTGAACATCTTCAAATGTAATAAACGCACGCTAACCTGGAGAAGTTGTACAGGTCAGATTGATACAGGGAGATATTTTTCTCTGAGCCCTGTGGAACAAAGACAAAGGGGGGTTATCAATTTTGTCAATTTGTGTAACTACAAAATCCCACTTTTGGGTCCAATAACTTGATTTATACTGGTACATAAGGTTATGATTTTTTTTTGTTCATCCCATATGCTTTTATTTTGTCAAAGTTCTATCATTAAAAAGTGCATACTTTTGTCAAATATTCTTATTTCCCATGCAACAATAATGCAGATTTTACCAAAATAAAAGAAGACATGCTTAATTATGAAGTCTGTTTATCCCCTGAATAGGATCCTCACATTTGCAGATCTGTAATTAAATCCATTCTTTTCTTACAATGTGTCAAAGAAAGGTATTGATTTCCTACCTTGAAAACCTTTGCTCCAGCTAGGGCAGGGACAGGCTCCTCACTGTAGGTCATATTGTTTTCCTCAAAGAACTGTTTTATAGCCTTTTCAGATATCTCCACCCCAACCACCGAGTGGCCCATGTCTGCTAGCCTGAGATTCAAACAGTAGAAGGAATTCAGGGGCATGCTGAGCTAAATGTTTTCACTATAGGGTGTATATACATTTTTAATAGGAACTGCCTTTTTTATTTTAAGCAGAAATGAAAACTGAAAACACCAACTGCAATTTTTCTAATTGGATAAAGTACATTTGTTTCATACCACTTCATATCTACAGCTTTCCCACAGAGAGGGAAGAAGAAGCGAACTCCTGTTCGTCCTGCAAGAACTTTATCAATGTGGCTCTCCAGCATCCTGTCAGAAGATAAACAACAGCTGTTAACAGCCAAATACAAGCCATTCCTGCATACGTTGTTTTTAAATAGTTAGTGTTACATCAACACTTGCGTTTAACTACTAAACCCTATAAAAAAACATTTAAAAAAGAAACATGTAATCAATGTTGATAGACCTTATGTGCTTCTGTACAAAGCCTTTTTCTGGGATCACTGAAGTGAAATTGTGCATTTACAGTAAATGTCATTTTGTACCAACACAAAAGCGTTTCAATAGGAGTAGTAGTACGTCCTGTGCCAGGCTTAATCTTATACAACTAAAAGTTGTCCACCGTATCTATTACACCAACTCTAAACTCTCCAAAATATACCCAAATGTTACGGATACCTGTAACAGATGCCACATGTCACCAGCAAACATGACTCATATGTTTTGGTCTTGCCCTCGCCTACAAGGATACTGGACAAGCATTTTCAAACACCTTACTGAGGCTTTGGACGTGGTACTGACACCATGTGCAGAAACTGCCATTTTTGGAATACTACCTGGCCACCGAATGATGAGGAGGAAAACTAAAGACAGTATAGCCTTTGCATCTCTATTAGCACGTAGAAGAATACTACTTGAATGGAAATCTCCTATACCACCTAAAGCATCTCTATGGCTTAAAGATCTTATGTTGTATCTGAACTTGGAGAAGATTAAATATAACCTGAGGGGCTCATCAAAATTATTTGAATCTGTCTGGGGCTCTATGATACAGCTACATAGCTGAACTTAAGACACTAAACTAAGAAGAAAGGAGGAGAACTATGAATATATGTGTATGTTTTCTTTTTTGTTATATTAATTCTTTATTTATTTTTATCTATTTATTTATTTGTTCTGTCTTTGTATACATGTATGTATGAATGTAGTTATGTGTATGTGTGTGCATGTGTGTGGGTATGTGCACACACGTATGTGTATATGTGGGTACACATATATGAGTATACTGTATGGGTACAAGTATTATTCTTACTATTATTTTTTCCCTTATCTATACATTTTCTTTTAATATTATCTTCTACATTACTTTAACCTATACATGTATCTATTTTATTTAGTTAGTTAATTTACTAGCTAGGACCGGGAGGGGGGGAAAGGGGAAAAATAAATAAAAATATTAAATGTAAACTCACTGCCTGACTCAATAAAAAAAAATAAAAAAATAAAAAACATAAGCGTTTCAAAAACGTGTGTTTTCCCTTAACCCACCAAAAAGACAGATCAAAGTGTGGCCTTTACTTGTGTACATGAGGCTGATGGAAACCAATTCTGTCCTCCTGCCAGCGCTCCTCCCATTCTCCGAGTGCCATGACCCGATCCGCCTGCTGTGCCAGCATGATGCTTACGTTTGACAGACCACAAGTACTATATGGAGCCGAGAGAAAGCAAAGAATGGAGAGAACAACATTCATATATGGCTGGAGACAGGGGTGAGTGTCCAACATTCATACAGTCATATGTTCTTGCACATAAACACATACAAAACAGGAATGGAAGTGAAAAAACGAGGCCTCTGAGCAGTTAACAATTTTGCAGGGTAATAAAAGTCTGACCCTTCTGGTAAATTACAGTAGTATCAGCTGTAGTCAGAGCAGTTGGTTACATATATGGCATATGGCCTATAGAGGTATATGTTCTCTATAATGTGTATCGCAAAAGTGTTACGTTTCATCTTTTAGCCTGCCTAATGAGATCTCAAAAGCTTCTTGTAATATAATAATTTGTATCAGTTACGTGACTATTCAAACTGACGTCACGGGTATCTTACCAAACATCTTGCATTACAGAAGACATTCCTAATGTAAATAAATGGGAGTTATTGGATTGACTTAACTCATCGTTCCAAAGTATTTAAATACTTTGGAACGATGAGTTAAATCAATTCAATATGACAGATTATGAACAGAAGCGATATAATTGTAATACTTAACAATGTCATGCTTGTCCTCGCTTACCTAGCAGCAGCCTGAAATAAACCAACATTAGTTTTAGAGAGGAACCTGAATCCCGCTTGTTTGCAAGTTCTAACGAAGAGCATACCTTTCTTTAATGAAGACAGCTAATACTTGCTCAGCAGCACATCAGCGACTGCATTGATCTTGTAACAGATTCAATCCATACACGGTTAGCTTTGTGCGTATATATTTCCTGAGTAAAGTCTGTCAGGTGATCTTTGTCTCACTGCTCGTTGATAACCGTTGCGAAAGTGGCAGGATAGTTATGAAAACATTGCCTGACAGGCGGAGCTCGCGGATTTCAAGAGCAAAATTCATCCGGTTTCACTTCTGG